TGTCTTCTACTGCCACAGTGTCACTCTCGTTGCACCGCTTATATTGCAGAAAATATGCGCTCTTGGAGGCCCTTCAGTTTGCTGAATCGATGTCACTAAAAGCTGTCATCTGCAATGATTCAAAAAGCTCCTGCTTCTGTTCTTGTGGCCCTCTGACAATCATCCAACATCAAATCCATAATTTACTGGTGCGTTTTAATTTGTTTTATTGTATCCCTGGTCAAGTTGAGAACGTAATTGCTGACCGGGCAGCAAAGCTCGCCACAAAGAAAACTGAAGTAGACATCCTCACAGTCTCGACAAACGATACCAAGCCGTTTATCAAACGTATTCTCAGCTCATAGCAGAGTGGCAGAACTCAGATTTTAAACTCAACGGGAATCAAGGATTCCATTAGGTCTTGGTCTTCAACTCGTGGGATCGCGAGATAATTCTGACGCGACTTCGGATCACCACTGCCATTTCTCCCTCGGACATCTCCGCGGTGACCCAGCCCCTAGTTGCGAGACGGATCTTACCGTGGAGCATGTTCTACAATGTTCTAAGGTACGAGTCGCCGAAGGCTTCACCTTGCTAGCTCTCTAGCACAGGTACTTCTCTCTGCAAGCTTTTTAGCTTCTTTCGAGAGTTTGACATAAACAGCATTATCTAACAAGAGGATTAAGCCAATTATTTTTTATTGGATATTTGAAAGTGTTTATCTTTTTCCTGCCAACCCCTTGTTTAAAATAATTCAACGTTTATTTTCCGTTTTACTTACATTTTAACTTGCATTAAAAAATGTTTATCTGGCACTGCTACTGTGCGTATTGCTGTTAAAATGACACGGCACGAAAGACGTTTGCTGTTGAAGTGCCCTTACACCGTAATCATTAAAGACATCTTGAAGATAATGAAAGAAGTGCCCAAGAAATAAAAAAAATAGTTTTTTTTTGGATAGACGTTCTGTTGTTTCCTTTTTGGTGTAATATCAAATTGAGTTTTATAATTATTTCATTCTAAAATTTAAAATTTTGTACAGACATATCAAAATTTTTGTTTAGTGAACTAGCTTTTAGAATGATCAATGCTATAAAGCTCGAGTATTTCGAATTAAATGCAAGTATATAAGAGATGTACTGTGAAGAACCTGCCCGTCGGAATACCCCGAGACATGTGCACACCGAACCTAGCGGTCCCCCACTGTGTGGGGCCACTTGAGTATTCGACATAGTGGTATGTCAGGTATCTGGCACTAAATTTATTTAGATGTAGGCCCCAATTGCGATATCAACCTGCTTTCTGCGCCAGCTCTAGAGATCTCAAGGAATGAAATTGATCAGATATATTCGCTCTGGGTCGGGATGATGTGCATGCTCTTAACTTATTAATTAAAACACTTTCAATTGATTGTTTGTGTTGTCCGCTAGAATGGCGGGCATACATTTATTCAAAATGACACTATTCTATTACATGGACATAATACTACGCATTCCCTTTCTTTGTACACTAGCGTTAGTCTTTCAATTCTGGCCGAGGACCTACAATGGTAAATTTTGGGTTACCTCGCGTAAAGAATTGCTCGTTGCCATCTTGGATTCGGGCTCAAGTCACGCACGCCGGGTGATGCCGCTACGGAAGGGGCATCGCAAAACCAAGGGCGGGCATAGGGCTCGCGTCGTACTGGTGCGGACTCGGGTTTGCAGGACGCGCCGATGACTGAATTGAAGACCCTCGCTCTCGTACCGGTGTGTTTTCGCTAGGCAAGAGTCGTCTTTCCCTGCACGCGTCGGAATGTACGTCACGGCACATTGCTCAGAGTGACAAGTGCTTTTCAGAAGTTTTAAGTCCGCTGAACGGAATAAATTCCTTTGACGTGGTTATTTCGCTTGATAACGACAGTTCCACATTCACAGGTTTCAGAGAGGATGGCATCTCCCTCTCTCGGTGGATTTCAGTCTGCATCTCCCTCTGTCGGTGGATTTCAGACTGCTTCTCCCTCTGTCGGTGGATTTCATTCTGCATCTCCCTCTCCCATCTTTGACCTCTGCTACTATCCCTCTGAGTGCCTTCTGGTCACGTGCGTGTCGCCCTACGTCGCTATTGGTTCGAATAGCTACTTTTCAATAATTTTTTGGGGTTGTTGATGCCTATTAGTCGGCCCAGTGCCCACTTTGATGACCTGCATAATCTGATCGTTTCAATAGATTGTCATTGTTTAGCTACACGATTGACGATGGGTGGTGAGCCGGGGGCCAGGGGGTGCTCCCTGCTGGGAGCAGGCGCTCTGGGTAAAGAATGGCAGGTAGTCCTAATAGATTAGCGAGGGGACATTTGCCAGACAATTATAATCCGAGTTTTTACGATAACGTGGGTGCAAAGAGCATCAGGCACGGTTTAATGAAGGTCGAGTGGATTGTTTTCTTTTTGGGGCGAGAGTCTCGGTAGGGGGTGTTTTCAGACTCTTTGTTCGTGCTCGTGGGAGGGTGGTTTTGGAAGATTCGCCCATTGTCGAGTTTTATAGGCCTCACAGTAACCGGCAGCTAATGTGAACAAGGGGCGGGGTTGGGAGGAACGTTAGCTCGCGTGTGCTGTGACAAATAGCGCACGTGTTAGATGTCAAGACATCTTAGTACTTAAGAAATTTAAACTATGGTGTGTAATTCGTATTTAAACTAGTGGTGCTACAGAATGGCACAGACTTTGCCGCATTAAATTTCTATTTCCTTTGGTCTTGGCTAGGTATTCGGACTTGTCACATTCTGTTACCAGCTGCCATCTATCGCCGCACAAATTACATTTTTTCAAAAATATTCTCAATTTATCGTTTTCTTAATACTAGAATCGATTTATTACTGTTTAATATTAAAGAAGAGTAAATAAAAATAAAGGCAATTTCATTGAAAAATTTAGAACCGTTTCTAAGCAAATGGCGTTTACTGTGAATGCGAAATTGAAGTTCTTTTCACAGAAAACCGTAGAGTTTTCAAAAAACTTCATATAAAGTCACTTCAAGCACTTCCAGTCGCAAATGCGTTTTCAAGTCCCTGGAAATGTACATATTAAAGGAGTGAGAGATATTTAAAAAAATTAAATTTGTCAATTTTTCGAAAAAAATATCTAGAATACGGCAAAATGAACTTGGTCATATTAAACAGTTCAATTAGCGCTATATGATGAAAATGTTTGGGGTGAAGGAATTTGGCGCCATTTTGGAGAAAATGGCGTTTGAGCGTTTCTGGAAATGCAGAAATTTGAGCTCATTTTCACAGAAAACTTGAGTTTTTGAGAAACTTAAGCTGACATTATTTAAAGCACATTTACTCATTACTATAATAATATGTACAAATTGCTGCGAATGTAAATATTGACTGTCAGAGAAAAGTCAAAATAATTAAATTTTTCTAATTTTTTATCAACAAGAGTAGAGCATTGTCGCGCTTGTCATCGTACTGAGTGCATTTTTTGAGACAATCTTGATTTTGTACTTTTTTAAAAAATTGCAAATAATGTGCGCAGTATTGCTCGAAAAATACTAAAATAAAAAAAGTAACCTTATTCAAAGAATTGATTAAGAACAAATTTCATTAGAAAGAAAACTCTTTGTTTTGAATTTTGTAGTTGTTGGTAGACGCTGGAAATAATTCAAAATTCGGATATGCAACCTTTATGTATATTTTACTCTATTGTTACAAGACATTTAAAAAGAAATTGGAGCCGTTTTTGACAAAATTTTGTAAATGTCCCAGGGACGTTATGTAACGTATCCTCAAATTTTGAAGAAAGATTATCAAAATCGCAGCGCTTTGAGTGGAGCCAGAACGACTGGAGAATGTCCATTTTGGAAACAATCGTACATATGGTTTAGGTGCTAGTGGTGTTCCCAAACAGACGTACATTTTGCTGTAAATTGATTTTTTGGTATGAAGGACCCACAAAACAGGAATTCTGGCTACACGCGTGTTATAGGATATTTTTTCTTAATTTAGCAAGTGAATTTATCCACTTTTTCGATATCGGGGGCCAGCAATGAATTTTTTCTGCCGAAAATCCGCCGTTTCTTCGCACAGCATTACATTACTTTCTGTATTTTACGTATGTACGAGAGTGTAAAAAATATTTCATTTTTATTTAATTGAAGAGTGGCTTACATATCTTCATTGAGAACTTGTACAGACCTCATTTAGGGGCAATAGAATAGGTCACTTGTCAGACAATAGCAATCATAACTTTAAAATCCGCCTAATAATTCTGTAATTTTATTTCAAAAGCTTATGATAGGATAGTGCATTATTAAATCCAGTACATTTTTTTCTCTTCACTTTTTAAGATGCTTCTGCTTCCTCTCCCTCCCCTGGCATAGGTGATTCAGGACATCAGTTGATGTCACTGCAATGCCTCTGACTGAGTAGTCATAGGGTTTGAGTCTCAATGACAGAACTTTTAACTCTTACTACACAGCTAGGTCAAATTCAGCTGTTGTCTGGAGGAGAGAATTCTAGAAACTTGCTGCTATGATTGATAGTTTTCCATGGTTACCATCAATACAAGGCAAATGCCAAATCAGTACCCCAATAAACGGGCCACAACCATGTGCAATCTTTCTTTCCTCTTTCTTGTCCTATCCTACTCCTTACATACACACACACACACACACACTTGTATGCATTACTTTACCACACATGCCAGGAGACCAGTTGGGAGCATGGAATTTATTGGGGAATACCTAGCAAGCCAACTGGTAAGTTAGCACCTTCCAGTGGGGAAGGTAACTGGCACCTCCCATGAGAAAAAGATACTCTACTCATATGGATCTAATGACCTGAACAGTTGACCCAAATGGAATCACTAATCAAACTTTCTCTGCCTCCACTGTTTCCTTTCTCCTCTCATTTTCTTTAATTAGTAATTTGCAAATTACTAATAATGAGAAAGACTTCACTTTTTAATTACTAACAATGTTATAACATTCATAAAACCTATTTCATTACATGAATTATTTTGATGTGTGATTGTTGCAGCTATAAAGATAGTCCTGGGCATCCACTGCGGTGCACATTTGAAGGAACCCTGAAAGAATTACTTGTGTACTGTAAGCCTAAGACTCCTAAGAAAATCTTCTATCAGCAACTTAATATTCGAATAAATGAATTAGAAAACAAAAAGCAATTCAAAGTGAGTAAATCGTAAAATTATAATAAATGTTGTATTTTGATTAAGTTAAGAAATGAAAATAGTCATTCATAATATTTTTCAGTGCCTATGGGTAGGTCCCAAGTTAAAGGAAGAAAAGGAGTTGATTTTATATCCCAATAAAAATGGAACTGTTGCTGATCTTTTGGAAGAAGCTAGGAAACAAGTTGAATTATCTGAGAATGGATCCGGTAAACTTAGGTAAATCAAATTTCTTTGAAACAGACCAATTTTTTTAATATATGTGAAACATGCATTTTGATCACATTGAATATTGTTTTGAATTTTTTTAGGATATTTGAAGTTAATTGTAATAAAATCATTTGTGGACCGAAAGAAGATGCATTGCTTGAAACATTGAATTCAACAGGAACTAAAGTTTATAGGTAGGTGTAATTAATGCAATTTTATGTTGTTTTAAAGTGAATAGATGAAATAATTAAAGACGTCATTGCCAACAATATTATTTAATGCAATTATTAATATTATTTAATATTATTAAATGAAATTTTTGTGGCTTCCATCCAGCAGACAACTGATGATGATGGCGGCTAAGCCATCGAAAGCTGCTATAGCATTAAATAATATTGTTGGCAATGACAACGTCTTTAATTATTTTATGAAAAATGCCAAAGATATCATACCACAACACCTATATGAATAGATGAATTTAGACTTCGTTTTTTTTCACCAAAAACCCATGGTTGAAATTGTTGGAAGAAATAGAATGATAAACTTAGTTCTGAATTCTTATACAGAGTAGACATGGATAATAAAGTCAAGATATCAGGGTTGCCTGATGAAGCCCTCAAATTGTTTTGTGATGTGCAGCATATGTGGTTAAATAAAATGCTGTTACTGGAGAATTTGACATCAATAAAGAAATATCAGAATAGTCAAAACTGCAAAGATATTGAAGCTTAGTTATTTTAATGTGTTGTTATACTTGCTTTGAGATTTTCTTGTTGATTATTCTGGTGTTAAAGTAACATAGTTATGTATGTAAGTAAAGCAAATTATGAAAGTTGGGTAGGAAACAAAAACTCAAAAATATCAGGGTTCTTGTGCACCTAAAAAACTTGGAATACCTAGAAAAGCAGAGATTTTTTTGGCCCTGGAAAAAACAGGGCAAGGTCAGGGAAAAGAACAAAATTGCATGAAATGTTTTAAGGTAACCTTCACTACTAGTGTTAAATTTTGTTCAACACTTTTGCCTTATTCAAGTGGTATTTCTTTCCAATGTGACAGTCTCATGTCCTCTCTCATGGCCAAGGAAATATTGAGTGTGGATTTTTAGTGAATAAGGAGTCTCTCTTCAATAACATGACAGAGAAATTGTCAACATCGTGTCTGGGAAGAGGTTCAGAGTAAAAGAGGGATAAACAAAATTGAAATTGCAAAATGCATGATCAAATATGTGAAAAATGCTCATAGCCGATATAGAAAGGAGCTTCAAAAAATTAAAAACAGATGTCATAAGAAGAGTCGAGAACTAAAAAAAAGGAAGGTGGTAGGGGGAAAAAACACGTTGGAGAACTAGTGGTGCTACAGAACAGCACAGACTTTCCCGTATTGGTTTTCTATTTCCTTTGGTCTCAGCTAGCTCTTCAGACTTGCCACATACTCTTGCCACCTGCCTCCTATTGCGATTTTTTGAAATTTACTTCAGTTTTCATTTTCCTAATAGAAGAACCAAAATATTATTTTAAGAATACTAATGAACAGTACAACTTTGTCCAAAATTGCAATTTCTTTTGAAAAATATTGAGTCGTTTTTAAGAAAATGGTGTTTAAGCGCTGCTGTAAGTTTGAAATTAGAAGCTTTTTTTCTCCTCCACAGAAATTTCTTTAGTTTTTCAACAACTTCCTAAAGTCATTTGAAGCACTTTAACTCACAAATACAATAGTGTTCACAAATTGCTGAAAATGTGCATATTAATGGCGTGAAAGATCTTTCAAAAACATTACATTTGTTTAATTTTTTTAATAAACAAAAAAGCAACCAAAATTAACTTTGCCATATTAAAGAGTGCAATTGGCACTATTCATTCGAATGGTTTGAAGAAAATACTTCGGTCTGCTTTTTGAAAAAATTGTGCTTTCTAAAAATCCGAAATTTTGAGCTAGTTTTCACAGAAAACTGTTGAGTTTTTAAGAAACTTTGATATTATTTAAAACATGTGTACTCGTTAATACAATGATGTGAACAAATCGCCGCTAATGTAAATATTAACAACTTGAGCAACAAGTAAAAAAATATAAATTTTCGTAATTTTTGGAAAAACAAAAGAATAGTACATGTGGTGTTTGTCTTGTACAATATTTACACTGTTCCTATCAAAACTTTAAAGAAAATCTGTTTTTGAAAACTTTTTGAAACTTTAAAGAAAGTAGCTGTTTTTGAAAAAATTTTGTTTTTCTAATTCTTTTAAATAGTATTTAAAATTGCATATAAAAATGTTGTGCAAAATTGCACGAAAATTACAAAAAGGTTAAAAAAATGTATGTGATCCTAATGAAAGAACTTGCAATGGAGAACAAATTTTACTTGAAGTTAAATTCTCTATCCTCAAATTTGTGGTTGTAAGAAGACTCCAAAAAATATCAAAAATTTTGAAAGTTAATTCTGAAAATCTGACATATGCCACCTTTAAGTGTGTGTTACTCTAGTTTTACAACAAATAAAAAAAAAAAAAAGGAAATGTTTTTGAGAAAAGTTTGAAAATGTCTGTGTGGCTTCATGTAAATATCCCCAAATATTGAAGAATGTTTTTCAAAATCACAACATCTGGAATGCAGTTTGGTCGAGTGGGGAATATCCATTTTGGAGAAAATCCTATGTTTAGGCACTAGTAGTGTTCACAAATGGACAGACGGACGTTTTGAAGGAAAGAACCCTTTTTCAGTATCATGGGACCCCAAAATGTGTATTTCCATTGAAAACTTAAAATCAATTTTTTCCACAGCATTATATTACTTTCTCTTTACTATGTTTATTACTGTGTGTATGTGTATGTATATGGGAAAGTAAAAAAGACGAATTGCGACTGAAGAAGCAAACATAGAAGAAGAAATTCTGAATGTGATGCGTGCTTTGATTAAATCATTGTTCCATTTTAGTTTCGAAATGAATATTGAGCAATCGCCATCAATTATGTTATGTTGTTATTGTTTAGTCTAAATCATTAGCAATATACTTAAACTATGTGTGGTGTTTACAAACAGGGTGTTTTGTGCCTGTTACAGAAAACCTATAATATTAATAATGATATTTTGCTTTTCCATTTTTATTACTACATGAATAGTTACTACTTAAGGACCAAATTTTATCTAATTTTTTATATGGCAGCAGTTTTGCCCATTAGTTGAGGTAGAAGTAATAAAGAAAAACATTTTTGTTTGTTTGTTTGTTTTTATTTTACAACTATCTATACTATTATTATGGAGAACAAATTACATTTGGAGGAAAAATCTTTTCTTCAATTTTGTAGTTGTAGGGAGACATGGAAAAAAATTCAAATTTTTGCAGTTATTGAAAATTTAAGAGTTAGACTTATGCCGTCTTTATAAGTGTATTTTACTCTATTCTTATGAGAAATTTCAAGAACAAATTGGGAGTCATTTTTCAGGAAATTTTGAGAATGTCCCAATAGGTTTTATGTAAAAAGCATATGTGTAGTTCGATGCTAGTGTTGTTCAGTCAGACAAACGACTGTTTGGCCGTCAATTGATTTCTCTGTATCAAGGACCTACAAAACATGGATTCTGGCTACACCAGGTGAGGAAGTTAGAGGATTTTTTTTACTTTCTCTCTACCGCAGACACAGTACACAGAGTGTTAGATCATACTGTGCGAAAAAATGGTGAATTTTTGTCAGAAAAACTTTTATTAGAGGGCCCTGGTAACAAACAAGTGGATTAAACCCGTTGCTAAATTTAGAAGAAATCCTCTAACACGTTGTGTAGCCAGAATCTGTTTTGTGGGTTCTTAATACTGAAAAACTGCTTGAAGTCAAAACATCTGTCCGTCCTGTGAAAAATGCTAGCGGCTAAACTGTTCAGCTGATTTTCTTCAAAATAGATATTACACAATCGATCCGGCTGATGTTGCGGCCCCTTCAATTTGAAACCTATTTTAATTTTGGCTAGTGCTTTTCATCAAGCCCAGGCATTTTCCAAATTTTCATAATGTGGCCCCATTGTTTTAAATTAAATTTTATTGTTGTATAGACTGAAGAACGTTTATGAAAATAGTGCAGATTTCGTGTTGGTTAAAAACCCTGATTTTTCAAAAACTAAAAAAGAATTTCCAGTGTCTTCCAACAACTACAATTATGAAGCTAAACATTTTGTTCTTAATAAAAAATGTGTTCATGAAAAACATATAAACATATTTAAAAATTGTTGTGTTCTATTTTTTAAAAAGATGAATAAATTTCGCAAAATTGTGTGTCAAACATCAACTAATTTTATTTTGTTTACACCTTGTTTCTTAAAAGCATTAGAATTTTTTTTATTAAAATGACATGTTCATTTGCATAAAGGGTGCTTAAGAGAATTGTTCAGGTCTCATGGTCATTGAAATGCCAGGTTTTCCAAAAATAAAAATAAACATTTCAGCATCTTCCTACAATTACTGTTGTGAAGATATAATTTTTTCTTAATGAAATGTCATCATAAACAGATCTCAAAAAAAAAAGGTCATGTTGAAATTTTTGAAAATATGGGTATTTTTGGGGACTCTGGTGTTAAACCAGTTGCCCACACTGCATATTGTGAACGTAATTCCAGACATTTGGATGCTTTATAAGTTAGAATTTGATCTTTTAGAAATTACTTGTACCTATTTGTGAAATGTATGAAACGAAAATTGCTAGCCTTCAGGGTATATCAGATTGGAATGCAACAATGACTTGCAAGCTAATTTCTGTGAATTACATCTTATTGGTGGGATATGATTAAGCTGTATGAAAAGCAGTTATAATTTATTGTCAAATTTGTGTTGACATTTGCTTGAAAATATTTAATTTTTGCACCAAATGTAAGGTTTGTAATGAGTGTAGTGTTAATTTCGAGAGAAATTATGGTATAAATAATATTACATAACTATTACTTAAGTGCTGCTTTAGCACCACTAGTTTCTAAAGTTAGCAGCTGAAACTATGCGCTTTTTCCTTGTCAGTGCCCGACATTAAGAGTTTTTCTGCCGATAATTCACTGTTTTTTCACGCATTCGTAATTTTCTATCTACTGCGTAAGCGGTACGGAGTAAGTAAAAGAAGAATTGCAATTTAAACAAGCTCAGCTCGAAATTAAATTTAAAATATTGAAGTAAAGTGATCAAGAAGACATTTAATGAAATGAAGATCAGTAATTGTCAAATGTGATCAATGAATATTATAATTTATTTTGTTTATGGAAGATTACACAATATACATAATGTACATACATGCATAAAATGTGAAATATAACGAGAATTCTCTATTTTTTTATAGTATAGTGCAATTACATAAGTAATGCAATGGTACAAATAACGAGGTTGAGCTGTGAAAAGTTTTCAATTACCCCAAATGATATTTTCAATCTGTCACTTGGATCTCCAGTAAAATAAACTTGACTATTTGGTATCCTGAACAATTTAATCACCCTGGTCAATTTGCTGTTTGTTAGTAATTGCCTTGAAATATTGGTGATGTTTACCCAGACAAAGTACCAATCCAATATGATGTAACACAGTTTGGGGCCTGGTTGTTTGGTTTAGTACGAAGCTATGTTTACTTTCAAATCAGTGAATTATGAATTTAGTATGTGTGGTATATTCTTGCAGACCCAGTCAGTGGCCACAAATCAGGGAAGTAAGATGTTTGGAAGTGTGAATAATGTAATTGTTTCCTTATCATAGGATAGAAGAAATACCTCGTGATGAGCTGAATTTAGCAGAAGATGAAATGCTTGTTCCTGTTGCACACTTCTACAAGGACATCTTTTCAACTTTTGGAATTCCCTTTGTTCTAAAAGTTAAAAGTGTGAGTATCAGTTAGTAGTGTTATTGCATTTTGTGTAACATTTTTTCTAATTTTTATCTATTCTTTACAATCTAGGGAGAACCATTTAGCAAAGTTAAAGAACGATTAATGAAAAAGTTAGGAATTCAAGAAAAAGAATTTGAAAAGGTATGTTACCGGTGAACTAATGCAATATATACTGTTTGTATTTCTTATGAAGGTTAAGTAATTTTTGTTTCCTTTTTCCAGTTTAAATTTGCTCTGGTTGTAATGGGCAGGGCACAGTTCATCACAGATGAGTCTGACTATCATATTAATTTAATGGATTTTCGATGCAACCCTAATCAAGGTAATTCTTGCATTGTTCGTCTTTGTATCTGAGAGTGTGTGAGAAGGGAACCAGAATAGGTGGGGAAGGGAATGTTTGCAGGTGTAGGCATGTCTTTCTTTTCATTTCTTCCCTTTCTTTTGTTCATGTAAAATTGAGGTTTTGAGACAATATAGTTCACTTAATGAACTTCAAGTTTCAACAACACACAGTTTTAACACAAAACAATTTTCTGACGTCTTTTTATCCATTTAAACCCAGTGTGAACCTAGAAATTTATGCACCCATTCATTTGATAATGATATTCCTCTTATGCGTCTCAATGTTGATTGAGTGATATGGGGAGGAGAAATTGTGGGAAGACTGAGGGAGAAATTAATTTAGAGATGAATGCCAAGAGCCATTGCATTGTCAAATTGAAGTTTTAAGGGCGATAATCACAGTAGTTTTCATGCGAATTAGACCCACAGAAAACGTGCAGTGCAGCCTACACTATTCTGCATGGAAACTTTTGAGCCTGTTCCTAATTTTGCTTGCATAAAACCTAGTTCGACACAAGTGCTACTAGCGGCAGAATAGTTCACTAACAGATTTGTTTACCCAACACAATGACAATCGACAATCTCAATTTTGTAGTTAGGTGTGATTGTGTGAAGTGATAAGAACTCTTTCCCTCTACCAGGCTTTTTATTTTTCTTCTCTGTGCTCCTCAACTTCGATTAAAACTTCATAAAGATTGCAACCAGAATCCATGCACGGAAATGCCTGTGAAAGTTCTCGGATGACCCAATTCAGTTGTTCCCGAGTCCATACCCAAGGTGGACCTTGTTTCAATTCATACTGGAAACTCTGTCTCTCCCTCCCCCTCCATCTCCCACCCATCCGTCTGTTCCTTCCTCCCTCAGTCTTTCCCTCCTCCTCCGTCACTCTCCCGTCTGTCTCTTCCTTCCTCCCTCAGTCTGTCCCTCCTCCTCCGTCACTCTCCCGTCCATCTCTTCCTTCCTTCCTCAGTCTTTCCCTCACTCCCCCTTCCGTTCCTTCCTCCGTCTCTTTGTCTCTCTCTTCCTCCCGTCTCTCCCTCCCCCCTCCGTTCGTCTCTCTCTTCCTCCCGTGTCTCCCTCCAACTGCTTGTTCGTGTCCTTCTCTCCCGCCTCTCACTCCGTTCATTCGTCTCTCTCCCTCCCTCCGGCTGTATGTGTGTCAACACCACTTGCGCATAACCCATAATACGTGTCAATTTTAAAAAAATAACAAAAATAGTATTTTCTTAAAAACAGGTCCAATTTTTTTCTTTAATCTTTTTGGGATAATGCTAAACGTACTCTATGAGCTGTAATAAACGCTATATTGCTCTCTCTTTCACTCTCTCCCTCCCTCTCTTTCTTTCACTCTCTCCCTCTTTCACTCCCTCTCTCTTTCTTTCACTCCCTCTCTCTTTCTTTCACTCCCTCTCTTTCTTTCACTCTCTCTCTCCTTCACTCCTCATCTTTTTCTTTCACTGCCCTCTCTCTTTCTTTTCACTCCCTCTCTCTTTCTTCCACACTTCACTCTCCTCTCCTCTTTCTTTCACTCCCGTCTCTCTTTCTTTCACTCCTCTTCTTTTCTTTTTTCATTCCCTCTCTCTTGTCTTTCCACTCCCTCGTCTCTTTCTTTCACTCCCTCTCGCTCTTTCTTTTCAACTCCCTCTCTCTTTCTATCACACATCCTCTCTTTCTTTCACTCCTCTCTCGTTTCCCTCATCTCCCCTCTCTTTTTCACCTCTCTCTCCCCTCTCTTCTTTCTTCTGTTTCACTTCTCTGCCCTCCTCTTTCTTTCACTCTCTCTCTTCCTCCTCCCTCTCCCCCTCCTCTCCCTCTCCTCCCCCTCTTCCCTCTCCTCCTCTCCACCTCTCTTCCCCTCTCCCACCTCCCCCTCTCGCCCCTCTCCTCCCCCTCTCCCCTCTTCTCCCTCATCACCCTCCCTCTCCCCCTTCCCTCTCTTCTCCCCCTCTCTCCTCTCTCTCCCCCTCTCCCCTCCTCTCTCTCTCTCGCCGCCCCTCTCTCCCTCTCTCTCCCCCTCTTCCCCTCTCTCCTCCCCGCCTCTCTACCCTCTCTCCCCCCTCTCTCTCCCCCCTCTCGTCCCCGTCTCTCTCCCCATCCTCCCCTTCTCCCTCTCTCTCCTCTCCACCCCCTTCTCTCCTCTCCCCTCTCCCCCGCTCTCTCTCTCACCTTCTCCCCTCGTCTCTCCCTCCTCCTCTCTCTCTCCCTTCTCTCTCCTCTCTCTCCTCCCTCTCCCCTCTCTCTCCCTCTCCGGCTCTCTCTCCCTCTCCCCCTCTCTCTCCCCTCTCCCCCCTCTTCTCCCTCTGCCCTCTTCCCTCTCCCTCTCTCTTCCTCCCTCCCCCTCCTCCCTCTCCCTCTCTCTCCCTCTCACAACTCCCTTCTCTCCCTCTCCCTTCTCTCCCTCTCCCCCTCTCTCTCATCTCCCCTCTCTCTCCTCTCCCCCTCTCCTCTCCCTTCCCCTCTCTCTCCTCCTCTCCCCTCTCCTCCTCTCCCCCTTCTCTCCTCTCCCCCTCTTCTCCTCCTCCCCTCTCTCTCCCTTCCCCCTCTCTCTGCCCTCCTTCGCCCCTCTCAATCCTCTCTCCCCTCCCTCTCTCTCTCGCCCCTCTCTCGTCCTCCCCCTTCTCTCCCTCCCTCTCTCCGCATCCCCTTCTCTCCTCCCCTCCTCTCCCCTCTCCCCCCTCTCTCTTCCCTCTCTCTCCCTCTCCCCTCTTCTCCCTCTCCCCTCTTCTCTCTCCTCTCTCTCCTCTCCCTCTCTCGTCGCC